TTATTATTTGTTTAATGCTAACATATTTGACGGTTTGTTAATTATACCTATGTTTCAAACTGTAACCACAAAGTCTACATCTCAATTACCAACAGTTCAAATAAAAGTGATTTATTGAGAGAATAAATTTGCTTTTCCGCAGCATGATCATACAATTATTTAGGGAATTTGTAACTAAAACAAAGGGGGACTTTGTGTATTTGATACTATGTACATACATTGAACATACTTTGCTGCACAGTTTAATTAAACTAATATAGGAAATAAATGTATACAGTGACTATAGTATGACTACACAGCATTAACCCCTTGAATATTTGACATCATTTTGTTTAAACATAATATGGGGGTGAGTGGGGTGTTTGTACGATCAACAAAATTATGATAAATGCCATAAAATGCAGACCGATGGAAAAATTGTATACAAAATATTAAGAGGAGAACATAAACATACTGTAAATTTAAAATTAAACCATCCAATGTTTAAAATATAAAATGAGCTACAGTAGGGCAGAAGTAAAACAAAATTAAAACTAAATCTCTTATTTGTGATGGAATCATGAGGTTTCTGAACATACCTTAAAGCCAGTTTAGACTATACCACAAGTCAAAATTTAGTTTACGGATGTAATCAAACCATCTTAATTTTTTTAAATAAATAAAAACACAAGCACATTTCTTTTGTTTTTCTTTAATACTTAAAGTCTTTCATTGTACCACAACTAATATGATCTGTCGAAATTTGCATTATTTATTTAATTATTTATTTATTTATTTATCAAAAATATAAAAAAATCATGAAATCCTCAAAAACCTTTTATTCATTGATTTACCCCACCAAATATTGACGCAGAATAAAAATTCTGAGAAACGGTATCATAATGTACATACTTTATGGGGTTACAAAATGTATTATGGATAGCAGTACAAACAAAATGACAATCTAATATATAACCTTTTCATGAAGGTATGTATAGAAATCACCTGTTTTTTTAATAAATAATACATACTCATTAATCCACTCTCCCACAAACTAAAAAATTCAACAACAAAAGTTTATGAAAACCCACTTAAAAAAACGCCATTTAATTTGTTAACAATATGGCATCTCTAATGCACAGCTGTATATGTTTATCGATTATTATCGTTTATTTGTTTTGTTTACAAACACATCTCTAATGATTGTGGGTTAAAAACGTTTAAACGCTGCCGCAAGTTGGAATACCATTGAAATCATGTCCAGAAATCGTAAACGCGATGCTCAAAGTAGCAGCTCCGAAGAAATTGACAGTGAGGAGGAGACACGACGTAAAGATTTAAAGGAAAGAGATGAATTTGCCGAAAGACTAAAGAAAAAAGATGAAGGACGAACACGCAAAGTACTGGAGTCTAGCTCCAGTCGTAAGGCAATTGAAGAAGCTGCTAAGCGTTTAAAATTAGAACATGATGATAGAGATAAAATTTTGCCACAATTACGTATACAATCGAGAAGAAAGTATTTGGAAAAACGGAAAGAAGATAAAGTGGCTGAATTGGAAGCGGATATATTGGATGATGAATATTTGTTTGAGGAGTCGGTGTAAGTTGAATGAAAAAAGAAAATGTTAGTTAACTATTTCAACTAAATTATGTAATTTATTACAGTTTAACCGACAAGGAGCGTCAGGAAAGAGAATACAAGAAGCAATTGTTAACCATAGCCAAGGAACATGAAAAGGCACGTGAATTGGAACGCATACAGCGTTATCATATGCCTAGAGATTTAAAAAAGGGAGAAAAAGGTAGATTGTTATAAAAATATTAATATAAACCATGTTAAAGTATGAATATTTGCAGAGGAGTATGTGGAAGTTGATGAAAATGAAAGACTACCCAATTCCGAACAAAAAAAATGGGAGGCAGAACAATTGGCTTCAGCCAGATTTCAATTTGGTGCTAAAGATGCTAAAGCTCAAGAAGAATATGAACTTTTACTAGATGATCAAATCGATTTCATACAAGCCCTTACCATGGACGGTTCAAAAGATAAAATCTCAAAAGAACCTGAAATGACAGAAGCAGAACGTAAACGTATGACTATAGAGGAAACACGTAAATCTCTACCGGTGTATCCCTTTAAGGAGGATTTAATAACAGCCATTAAAGAGCATCAAGTAAGTGTAAAAGCTAAATAAAGTTATAAAAGGAAAAAAGTTTAACACCTATGTATATGATAAAAATAGATTCTCATAATTGAAGGAGAAACTGGTTCGGGTAAGACAACACAAATACCACAATTTTTGGTGGATGCAGGTTTTACAAAAGATAAAAAGAAAATTGGTTGTACCCAACCACGTCGTGTGGCGGCTATGTCTGTGGCGGCACGTGTGGCCGAAGAAATGGGTGTTAAATTAGGCAATGAAGTAGGCTACAGTATACGTTTTGAGGATTGTACTTCGGGTAAGTAGTTAAATAAAGTTTCTTTTTATTCATTACTAATTTGTTATTAAAACGTTATTTTAGAAAGAACTGTTTTAAAATACATGACTGATGGTACTTTACATAGAGAATTTTTGTCAGAACCAGATTTAGGTTCTTATAGTGTTATGATTATTGATGAGGCTCATGAACGTACCTTACATACCGATATTTTATTTGGTCTAGTTAAAGATATAGCACGTTTTCGTCCTGAATTAAAATTATTAATATCAAGTGCCACTTTAGATGCTGAGAAATTTTCACAATTCTTTGATGATGCTCCCATATTTCGTATACCAGGCAGAAGATATCCAGTGAGTTAAAGCTATTAAAATAATTACTTTATTATTAATATTGTATCTTATCTATAGGTGGATATATTTTATACTAAAGCTCCAGAAGCTGATTACATTGATGCTTGTTGTGTGTCCGTTTTGCAAATTCATGCTACTCAACCTCTGGGAGATATTTTAGTGTTCCTTACGGGTCAAGATGAAATTGAGACTTGTCAGGAGATTCTGCAAGATCGTGTTAAACGTTTAGGCTCTAAAATTCGCGAACTGGTTATAATACCGGTCTATGCAAATTTACCCAGTGACATGCAGGCGAAAATTTTCGAACCCACTCCTCCCAATGCCCGCAAAGTTATTTTGGCCACCAATATTGCTGAAACTTCTCTAACCATAGACAATATTATTTATGTTATTGATCCTGGTTTTGCTAAACAGAATAATTTCAACTCTCGCACAGGCATGGAATCCTTAATGGTTGTGCCGATTTCAAAAGCCTCAGCTAATCAAAGAGCTGGTCGTGCTGGACGTACAGCACCAGGAAAATGTTTTCGTTTATATACCGCCTGGGCCTACAAGCATGAATTGGAAGATAATACAGTGCCCGAAATACAACGTATTAATTTGGGAAATGCTGTACTAATGCTTAAAGCTTTAGGCATAAATGATTTGATACATTTTGATTTTCTGGATCCCCCACCTCATGAAACTTTAGTGTTGGCTTTAGAGCAGTTGTATGCTTTGGGCGCATTAAATCATCATGGAGAATTAACAAAATTAGGCAGACGTATGGCCGAATTTCCAGTAGATCCTATGATGGGGAAAATGTTGCTGGCTAGTGAAAAGCAAGTATTGGTATCTAAAAAAAACCTTAAAAACATTCTTAACACACAATTTTTCCTTACAGGTACAAATGTTCCGAAGAATTGGTGACCATAGCAGCTATGCTTTCGGTTAATAGTGCAATTTTCTATAGACCCAAAGACAAAATCATACATGCCGATACAGCACGTAAAAATTTCAATCACATACACGGCGATCACTTATCTCTTATGCAGGTTTACAATCAATGGGCCGAAACAGACTACAGTACCCAATGGTGTTATGAGAATTTCATACAATATCGTTCCATGAAGAGAGCACGCGACGTTCGTGAGCAATTGGTGGGTCTAATGCAAAGAGTTGAAATCGATATGGTCTCCTGTTTGCCAGAAACAATTAATATACGCAAATCAATAACAGCTGGTTATTTTTATCATGTGGCACGCCTATCGAAAGGTGGTAATTACAAGACAATTAAACACAATCAAACAGTAATGATCCATCCAAATTCATCTTTATTCGAGGAGTTACCACGCTGGGTACTGTATCATGAGCTGGTATTTACAACGAAAGAATATATGAGACAAGTAATAGAAATCGAAAGTAAATGGTTGTTGGAAGTAGCGCCACACTACTATAAGGCCAAGGAGCTGGAAGATTCAACAAATAAAAAAATGCCTAAAGGACAGGGTAGAGCTACAATGACTGAGTAATGTTTTTGTCTGGGGAGTGCCGAAATAAAGAGTTTACATGTTAGTTTTTTTGTAAATATATGAATAAAGTACATTTTTGTAAAAAAGTTTTTTTTTTAATTTTTTAAGATGTCTCTAAAATAAAGAAACAAATTTCGAAAATTTTTAAATAAAAAGAGCTACAGTCAAAGAATAAATGCTACAGTCATCAAATTTTGTATGAAAAGCATTGACATCCATATGAACACATGAGGATTAAATGGGCAGCCTAGCTTTAGTGGGCGTGGCTCCTCCCATATAAAGAAAACTTTCGGTGACACTTTAGTATCAATATGACTGTTTGGGACAAAAAATGGGCAGACTAGAAATAGGGGGTCCCATCCCATACTGATTGAATACAAAAATTTTATAATTTTGGACGAACTACTGTGACATCCATGTGAATATTTGGGTAATAAATTGGCGGACTAGATTATGAGTTAGAATCTAGCTATTGGAGCTAGAGTCTTTAAATTTTGTACGAAGAATTTTAACATCCATTCGAACATTTTATTAGGGTGGCCTGTAACCTCCATATGACTTAAGTACAAAAATTCATATATCTGGGAAACTATTAGAGCTAGAATCTTAAATTATGCACGAAGAACTCTGATACTCATGTGAACATTTGGGTAATAATTTAGCGGACTTTCAATAGGGGTTTGGCACCTCCCATTTGAATTAAATATAAAAATTCGTATATCTGGGAAACTGTTAGAGCAGTTAGAGTTAGAGAGGGTAGCAAAGCACACAATTTTCGATAGTTTTCTACAAAAAAAAAGTAAAATCTTCAAAGATTTTCTAAAATTTTAAAAAATTGTCAAAAAAAAGTTCGAAAATTGAAATTTTCTACAAAAAAAAAATTTCGAAAAATTTCCCTAAAATTAAGAAGTTTTTGCAAATTTTTCATAAAATTGAGAAATTTTCTATATAAAATCTAATTGAATCTGCAAAGATTTCCTATAAATAGTTATTCGAAAATATTCTTTAAGTAACGAAATTATTTAAAAAATTTTTGCATTTAGAAACTTTTTCGTAAAAAGAAAGTAAAACTCACCTTTTTTCAGCCCTGTTCAAATGATTTTCTGAAGGGACACTTGCATGGGACCGACCGCACCCATGTTATAGACCGATCATGAAAAAATCTTGAAATAGAATTTTTGTATACCAAACTAATATTTGTGCCAAATTTTGTATCAATAGCTTTATTTGGTAATGAGTAATGTGCGTATAAGGGATTTTCGTAAAAGGACCTTGTATGGGAGCTAGGACCAATTATGCATATAAAGACAAAATTTCAAAATTCTGTATCTATATCATTATTTGGCAATGAATATTGTGCATTTAAGTGATTTTCGGGAGGTGACCTTGTATGGGAGCTGTGACCAATTATGGACCGATCGGAAAAAACGTCCATACTAATATTTCTGTATATATGAGCAATATTTGTATCAAATTTTATATGAATATCTTAATTTAGTAATGAGTTATGTGCGTTTAAGTGATTTTCGGAAGGGGACCTTGTAAAGGAGCTATGACAAATTATGGACTGATCGGAAAAAAACTTCATAGTAATATTTCTATATGTGAGAGCTATACTTGCACCAAACTTTATATGGATATTTTAATTTAGTAATGAGTTATGTGTGTTTAAGTGATTTTCGGGAGGGGACCTTGTATGGGAGCTATGACCAATTATGGACCGATCGGAAAAAAATTTCATAGTAATATTTCTGTATGCGAGAGCAATAATTGTATCAAATTTTATATGGATATCTTGATTTAGTAATAAGTTATGTGTGTTTAAGTGATTTTCGGGAGGGGACCTTGTATGGGAGCTATGACCAATTATGGACCGATCGGAAAAAAATTTCATAGTAATTTTTCTGTGCATATGAGCAATACTTGTACCAAATTTTATATGGATATCTTAATTTAGTAATGAGTTATGCGCGTTTAAGTGATTTTCGGGAGGGGACCTTGTATGGGAGCTATGTCCAATTTTGGACCGATCCAGAAAATGTTTTCTCCCAATGAATTCTATTGACATAAGATTTTAACTTGTAAAATTTTGTGAAGATATCAACATTCTAACGGAAGTTATTAACAAAAAACTCATTTTCCGGGAATATGTACTTTTGTATGGGAGGTATATGAAATTATGGACCGATTCTTGCAATTTTCAGCAGAAATCAATATCTTGTGTAGAAACGAATGTATGATGACTTTCATGAAATTATCTTGCCTAGTTTTCGAGAAAATTACATCAGAATGTGTAAAAAATGCTTATTTTTTTCGGAGTTGTTTTAAATTTTGATTCATAAATTTTCCCGATGTGAACCGATTTTGCTCATTTTCAATACCAAACTGTACCGGATAATAATGAATATTTTGGGTGAATTTGGTTAAATTATATTGCTTCGTTTTAACGTGAGTGTGTTTTACACAGACAGACAGACAGACGGACGGACGGACATAGCTAAATCGACTCAGAATTTCATAAGGACCCAGAATATATATACTTTGTTGGGTCTCAGATGAATATTTCTTGGTGTTACACACGGAATGACAAAGTTATATATACCCTCTATCACCACTGATGGTGGTGGAGGGTATAAAAATTCGTATATCTGGGAAACTGTTAGAGCAGTTAGAGTTAGAGAGGGTAGCAAAGCACACTGTGTATAACTAGTTTTCTATAAAAATATAAAATTTTCGATAGTTTTCTACAAAAAAGTAAAATCTTCAAAGATTTTCTGTAAAGACAGATAATTTTCAAAAATTGTTAAAAAAAATTCGAAAATTGAAATTTTCTACAAAAAAAAAAAAAAATGTTGAAAAATTTCCCTAAAATTAAGAAGTTTTTGCAAATTTTTCATAAAATTTAGAAATTTTCTATATAAAATCTAATTGAATCTGCAAAGATTTCCTATAAATAGTTATTCGAAAATATTCTTTAAGTAACGAAATTATTTAAAAAATTTTTGCATTTAGAAACTTTTTCGTAAAAAGAAAGTAAAACTCACCTTTTTTAAGCCGTTAATAAATAATTAATAAACATTAATTGTATATCTATTATGTTGTTGTTGAGATTTAACAAAAAGAAAAAGCATTATAGTTTTATTATTAAAATAAACCATTATAATTTAATACATGTAATTGTAAAATAAGAAAATAAATAAAAACAAAATGCCCAAAATAAAGATCATAAATATTAATTAATTACAAAATACTTATTACACTATACAGAATTTCAAAATGAAATTTATAAAATAAATATTAAGAGAAGGATTTCGATTTTTTTTAAGGTTTTCATATATAAATTTGAAATTTTCAACTAACAGTTAGGTTTGGTGCTAAATTTTTATTAAAATAGTGTAACAAAGGTTTTGGTTTTTACGTTTTTTTTTTTTGTTTATTAGTATTGAATTTATTTATTTATTTATAATTTAAGTTATATATATAAATAATGACTTATAAAATATATTAAGAAAGAAAAAAAACAATAAACAAATACAATTAGTATAAAAATATATGTATGCTGGTAATTATAATAAGAAGTTTTGGGGTTTCTTTTTAATATTTAATAATGTCTTGTTATATGAAATTTCAGTTTAATAATAAATTATGTTTTTTTTAAGAATAATGAAAACTATAAAATAATAAATAATTAACACTTAAGTATTAAATTTATTAAGACACGTAGAATAGTTTTTAGGAGATTATGTATGTATATAAAATATATGCATGTGTATTTAAGTATAGTTTTAATGTAAAGTAAATATTTATGATTTTGTTTTGTATACATATATATAGTTTTGTTCTTTGAGAAGTGAAATATGTAGTTAAATACTAATATTCTGAGCTTATAAATGATACATTTTCAAATACATTATTGTAACTTAAAACTTAATTAATTTAAAGTTTAGTTTTTGCTTGTGTTGTCTTACAAATAAGCTCAGAATATTTTAGTTTTAAGTGTTGTAGTTTTTTGTTCTTTTATTTATTTTTTATTTTATAAATTTAGTAATTTTTTCTTTTTTTTTACACTTTACTGCAATTAACAACATATAAGTTTTTGCACTTTTTGTTATTTAAAACTTAAAAACTATTGAAAACATAAAATTGTTTAACAACATAGTATTTTTGCATGTAATATGTTTTTGATATTAATTATGTATTTTCTACATATTGTTTTTAACATTTTCCATTTAACTAATATTAATGATACACATATTTTTTGAAAATATAATTTTTAAATAGTTTTTTTTTAGTTTTTTTTCTTTTGTTTATAGTGCTTCTTTGGCCTTTAAAATATTTTGACTATATATTCGTTTTCTTTATGTATGTTGATTGATTTGTTTTATCTCTTTTGTTTTTAAGTTATAAATTTAAAATATTTTTAACAATTTGTTTATTGTTGTTATAAAAAAAATAAGAAATATTTGTGGTTAACATAAACTGTTTCACAGTGTTGTACAAGACAAAAATTTAATATAAGATGGTTTATTTTAAGAAACGTATGATAGAATAGCGAAAGAAATGTTTAAGAAAAAAATGTTTTTCCAAATGATTTGTTTGTTTAAGAAATAATTTTTATAAGTTAAACAATAATTAAGGCAATTATTAATTTTTAGATTATATTCGAAATAGAAGAAGAAATCTAGTACAATTACCTATGGGTCAGTTTGGCCCCTGATTATTAATATTTTTCTCATGCACTGCCTATGAAAAACTCTTTCTAACTGATAATGTTAGAATTGCTTTTGATTAAGAGAAAATTCTTAAATGTTTTTGGTTAGCAAACGTATCAATTGAAAAACAAGTAAGAAAGTATAGTCGGGCGTGGCCGACCATATGATACCCTACACCAGTTATGAATATTAAATGTGATTTATTTTTCATAATATCGCATTTATCTTCAATATTCCCTTGTTCCGATACATATAAGCAATTTATGGATGAAAAACTAATTTTCTGAAAGAGGCTTTATATGGGGGCTAGGGGCAAATATGGACCAAGCCCGATAAAATTTTGTGAATATATTTACATAATATTTTATTGTGCTGAATTTCATCGCGATATTTGTGTTTATAAGTTAATTTGGGACATTCAAGTAATTTTCTGAAGGGGACTTTGTATGGGAGCTAGGGTCAAATGGGGCCCGATCTTTATGAAATTTGGCAGGGTTATCAAGACTTCTATAAAACTTAGTTGTGCCGTATTTTATCGATATATCTGTATATTTAACATAATTATGAGCTCAGAAGCCCTTTTCGGGCAGTTCTGTTCTATGGGGGCTAGGTGAAATAATGGACCGATTTTAACCATTTTCAATAGGCTTCGTCCTTGGGTCAAATAAAACGTGCGTGCCAAATTTCATCCAATTATCTTGAAAATTGCGACCTGTAGCTTGCGCACAAGGTTTACATGGACAGCCAGCCAGCCAGACGGACGGACGGACATAGCTTAATCGACTCAGAAAACGATTCTAAGCCGATTGGTATACTTTAAGGTCTAGGACGAATATTTTTATATGTTACAAACATCAGCACAAATCCAATATACCCTCCCCACTAAAGTGGTGTAGGGTATAACAATATTACTTAATATTCCATCTCTGCTTAAGATTTATATAAATAGCATCTTATACTCTATAAAAAAGTAGTGTATACTTTTAGGCATGAAATAATTATTCCCTTAAGGGAATGAAGAGCTGATTTCAGTGACGCGTGACTGGATTATTATATTCCTTATAAACGAATGGGTGGAAAAACTTAAACAAATATTTGCAAAAGTTTTCTACGAATTACGTCTACTTGATCAGGGTAATTCCCTTCGCGGAATTACGGATTATGATATTAAGACTCTAGACATCGGGGATTGGCTTGTATACGATAGACTGTTTGAGGGGTGTGAAGTCTTCACTAAAGGGTCCAAGTGTCTATATCGCTTATATCAACATAAAACGGTCTTTCAGACTCTCTGACGAATGTAGTGTCTTCCAAGCAGAGATCCTAGCGATCTGGAAAGCGACGGAACTGATACGGAATCATATCGATCCGGGGTCGGTTGTAACTATATATGTTGATAGTCAAGCTGCTCTCAGTGACACGGTACATTAACACCTGGTTGCAGCTTGTAGGAAACTGTTTGTCGTTAGATTGTGTTGGGTGCCAGGGCACTGTAACGTGCATGGTAATAAGGTTGCGGACGAACTAGATAGATTAGATTCGAACCTTGATATTGCGGACCAGGGAAAGGATGGTAAAAAAAACCCATTTGTCACTATAATAGGTTGATATTCGAGAGAATATGTGATATCATCAACCAGTCCTAGAATAGTAGATTGGATTGCAAAATATCAAAGGCCCTCTGGCCAAAACTTGATATGGGTGCTACCAAAATACTTATAGGACTGGATAGACACAGTCTAAGGGCTCTGATAGGGATTTTAACTGGACACTGCTCAGTCAGCAACTTAGTCAGTAAATGGGACAGTAGTATACTGGACTTTGGCAGGTTATGCGAAGATGAGGAGGAGAATCTCAGGCTGAAATGACTAGGGAATAGGTTCCACGACGAATTGGGGGAAATTGCGGGACCTAACCTTAAAAAGAGAAATTTTCGCAAATATTCTAATAAAAAAAGGGAATTTTTGAAAAAATTTTATGGAAAAGTCACATTTTATTTTCTATAAAAAGAGAATTTATAGAAAATTTTCTATGGAAAAGAGAAATTTTCTATGAATAAAAGAGAAATTTTCGAATTTTTTTTATGAAGAGAAATTTCGGAAATTTTTCTATAAAAAAGAGTAATTTTCTATGCAAAAAGAAATTTCTGAACATTTTCTATAACAGTGAGAAATTTTCGAAGAATGCTATTTTTGAAAATTTTCCAATAAAGAGAGAAATTTTTGAAAATATGGTAAAGAAAAAATTTTTATAAAAAAGAGAAATTTTGGAAAATTTTCTAATAAAAAAAACTTTCAAAAATATTCCAAAAAACAGCAATTTTTGAAAATTTTCTAAAAAAAGTAAATTTCGAAGATTTTCAATCAAAAAGAGAAATTTATTGAAAAAATTTATGAAAAAGTGAAATTTTCGAATTTTTTAGAGAATTTTCAGAAAATTTTCTATAAAAAATGGCATTTTTGAAAAATGTTAATAAAATAAACATTTTCAATGATTTTGTATTAAAAAGAGAAATTTTTAAATAATTTCTATGATTTTATTTTTTTTTACAATTTTAAAGATTTTCTACAAAAAATATTTTAAAAATATTCTGATAAAAAGAAATATTTTCCAAAAACAATTCTAATATTTTAGAAAAAAAGTAAATTTTCGAAACTTTTTTATAAAAAAAAGTGGAATTTTCAAAAATTCTTTTGAACTTTTTCTCAAATGATTATCAATTAGATATAAAACTTTTATAAAAGAAAATAGTTAACATAGAAACAGACAACGGGATAATTTTAGGTAATTTGTTCATACATTTATTAGCTGAACTAATCCTAATTACTACAAATATTATAAAATTACTATACATGTTGTATATATGCCAATAATTAAATAAATTAATAATAATTTATATGTGTTACTTTAAGTAGATGTTACATAAAGTAATAATATCAATAGTAACTATTTCTTTAAACATACAAATCATTTGAAATAATTATGTATATAATTTCTGTGTTTTTTATTAATAACTTTAAAATGAATAAAAGTTGACAAAAGCGTTTCACACAGTGATAATTCAATATTAAATGCAATAAAAATACAAGTCTTAAAAAAGTTAAGATTAAAAAAAAAAAATTACCCAAAATACCAACTTATTTGGACAGTATATTACAAAAGATATGAACAAATCGGAATCACTTTTTTATCCTTAGTGATAACCGCAAAGTAATTTTAAATAATTGAGAATTTGTTAAGTATTTGCTATAAGAAAATAATGTGAAACCTTTTTTTTTAAATTTTCTTTAGGTTGCCTTTACAACAAAAACATTACATTTATAACAGCTTGATTGCCAATAAAGTTAAACGTAAAAATATATGATGTACTATAAAAATGTTTGGAAATAAAATTTCCTCCCTATATATGTTTGTTTTCGTTTGAATATTTTACTAAGTTAATATTTTACTAAATCCCTTGTATAGCTGATTTCAGCTAAAAATGGGGGGCGGGAAGATAATATAAACTATTTGGCAGTTATTAAGCAAGAACATTGAAAAATAACAAAAATTATTAAGAACAATACGTTTTAAAGATTTTAGTAATCGATAGTTTTCATTACAGCCTGACAATAGTTATTAGTTCATTGTATAGTGTCTTTACTTTAGTTTTGACTAGCAAGCAGTCTTTTTTCTAATCTATAATTTAGTTAATAGTCATGAGTATAGTTTAAAGTCTAAAGACTATTGACTAAACTATAGACCAAACTATAGACTAATCTGTATACTATAGTTTAGACAGAATACTTAAGACTATTGATTAAACTACTAGACTATAGACTAAGCTATTGCTTAGTATTTACTTTAGTATTGTACGGACTATAGTTTATAGACTATTTAATAGTCCATTTTCTAGTTAAGTCAAAAGTACAATTAAAACTGTAGATAAGATTATAGACTAGACTATAAACTCTCCTTTATGCAAGACTAGACTAATATTTAGCCTGGTCTAGTTTATAGTCAAGTCTATTATCTAATCTTGACTATAATTTAGTTTATAATCTAGTTAATAGTCTAGTATATGTGTTAGTCTTCGCTATAGTTAGGTATATTATTTCGTTAAGAGTTTAACTAAAATCTAGAAAATGAAACTGTGACTGCAAACATTTTTTTTCAAAAGGCCAAATATTTATTATCTGTCTCTCTCCCTTTAACAGCTGATCTTAATTATCTTTATAAATAAATAATAAATTGTTTGACTAAGGTGTTTTCTTGAAAAGTTAATAAAAAATCTATCGAATTTATTTTATATGTATTATGTATGATATTCAAGTAAGTATTAGTATGTATATGCACGTAGTAAGTAGATAATTAATGTATGTATATAATTTTTGTAATTTATATTAAAATCTTTGTCTTGCCCAATACTGTTTACTATTCTAGTTACCACGCGGTTTTTGTTTATTCGTATCATAAGATCGTATAATATCAGATTGTGATACAGCGCCGCCTTCCTCTTGTGAGAAAGCATAACCGTGTGATAATTCAACATCGGTATCAACCCGGGTATTGGCACGTCTTATAAAAACACTACGCAAAAGGCGAGCTGTTTCGGTAAACGATGATCGTGTTTCATTCATAACATCATCGGGATCATGTTTACGTATTTCGGATTCCCGTACGGCCTCGGTAAGAGATTTGAATACGGTGTTTTGTACAAGTTTAAAGATAACATCGACTAGTAGTGTAGTGATAGGTACTAATAATAAGCCAAACCAAAAGACGGGCGTGGTGAATATCATTCTTTCCATGCCCAAAAAGTTGGCTGCCACCGGTAGCACCGGCCAGAAGTTGGAATATATTACAATAAAAATAAACCATAGACCTATGGAACCCCATATGGAGCAGTGAGTTAGCCAAGTCCAAGAATTGGTAGAAAGACCAGCTTTCAAACAGACGGTAACCACCACATAGGTGTAAACAAAATTGCCTAATAAAAGATAATCGGATATTTTGCCGCTAGACCAGATAATTTCCGATTGTAGGGCACCCAGTGGCAGCCAGAATAGAATGATTGAATGCAACAAAGCATTGATGATCCACACCCAGAATACTTGTACATTGAAAAGTTTTGCACTTTGTGAGGGCTTATAGAGGAAGGGATATTTTAACATAGTTTCAGCTGAACATACCTTTTCAAAGATACCAATGGCGAAAGGAGGTAAGGCGGTAAATACCACATTGTATAAGCCAATAGTCCAACGTTCGAATAATATTTGTCCTGACCAGCCGGAATAAATTGCAAACCACAATTCTATAACATAAAGACAGACATTTTTATAAAATGAATATAAAATAAGTTTGGTAATACGTCTATAATTCCAAGCGCCATGGACAAGAAGTAAACGTTTCAAGAAACGAAATTGTCCTATGGAATAATCTGATGCACAGGCAGCTTGTAAGCCTTCGACTCCTGAAATACCTACGCCCACATTGGCTTTTTGTATCATGGCCACATCGTTGGCACCATCACCAATGGCCAGAGTAACAGCTTTAGTACTAGAAGTGACTAGTTCCACAACTTCGGCTTTTTGTATGGGAGAGACGCGACAGCAAATGACCACTCGACAGCCTGTGCAAAGTTCTTGAAATTCACGTCGTAAGTCACAGCTCAAAGCATATTTAAGTGTCTTGCCGTCTATGATTAGGGCTACATTACAGTTTTTATTAATGGAGGTTTGCAATTCACTCGAATGTCGATGTATAACTTCTCGTGTGGTATCTAAGCTTTCTTCATTCAGTATTATAATGTCCATAGTGGGTGATATCAGTTTGCAGGAGTGACCAATATTAATGGCGGTTTCTTGTTTGTCACCCGTTAATACCCATATATAGATGCCTGCATCTAGCAGAGAAGCTATTGTTTCAGGCACACCCTCTTGAAGTTTATCCTCTATAGCGGTGGCTCCTAAAAGGTGAAGATCGTTTTCTATCAAATTGGCCGCTTCATCTACTTTTCTTTCACGTTCATTTACAGCCGTCGAAGCCTTATGGTAAGTAGCCTGCCAATCGTTGTAGACATCATCGGGAATATTCGATACGGCACAACATAAAGTACGTAGACCTTCTGCTGCAAATTCTTCAAGATGGCTGAGAGTAACATCTCTAAACGATTGACCTTCTTGGGCCAAACGCTCATAGATAACACTATCGGCCCCTTTGCAATACAACTTTATGTTTCCTTCGGGAGTGCGAACAATTACCGACATGCGTTTACGGGTCGAGGTGAATTCTAAAACATTGAGTATTTCATAACGTTCTCGAGTGCCCAAAGCATTAATCTCGACATAATGAGGAGTGCGGGTGTCAAAAACAAAACCATATTGTTTAGCACCATCTACCAAAGCCCGTTCATCAGGACTGGCAGCATGATAGGTAATCGAACCATCAGGATTTTTCTCTGGTATAACGGTATGACATACTGACAGTAAGACTAGAAACTCTTTAATAATATTCGCACTTTGATGTTTACTTAACAAATGCTGAACCACTAAACTTTGTTCGGGAGTATTTTCGGTCTGATACATTTGTCGGGCTATGGAACATTTTTTAAAAACCATTTCATTGCGTGTCAAGGTACCGGTTTTATCTGAAAATATATACTTGACCATGCCCAATTCTTCATTCAGATTAGAGGTACGAGCCATAGCAGGAGTATTCGATTCCACATGATACATTTGTATGTCACAGTTGATAAACTGAGCCTGTAGAAATCTCACCAGTTCTAGGGTAACTTGCAGGGAGATGGGTATCAAGTTGTTGAATAATATAAAAAATGTTAAGAGATTATAGCCAAAGTTTTTACTTTTAAAATCATCCAAACCCAAATACCAATCGGAAACAAAATAGTTGCGGGTCCAGATGAAATTGAAGATGGCACTAGTTAGGCAAAGCACCAATAATATCATAAATAACATTAATATCTGCGTATTGGTCAGGCGATCTACAGTGGAACGCTTTAGGGGAGCAGAGGTAGAATTTTTCATAAGTTTTGTATCGTGTCCCGTATAAACAACAATACCAAATATCCATGAGGTGTTACGCAAAACAGCGCCTCTTTGTAAAATCTGATCGGGTCCCAAAGAAACCGCCGGTTTATCATGCTCCTTTAAAACACCATTGAATTCATACAACAATCTATTGGGCAGCTCACATTCCACCACCCCCTTTAGTTCTATCAAATCTTTAGTTTCCAATAATTTGGCTGTTGCCGGCACACCTTGTCTAATTTTCAAATTTGTTTCACCGTCCAAATTTGAGGTCTCTATAAAGCACATGGCTTGAGGCTCACTAGATGACATTAATATCAAATCGGCTGGGAAAAATGTATTATTTGGAATTTTTACTATATCGCCCACAGACAACTCTTCCCAGCGTACTGTTGTCCAGGCACCATCTTTTAGTTTCTCCACCGTTCTATGATTAATTTCATTATCCGCCCGATGTCTTTTATAATCTTCTACGATTTCCTTAATGCCACTCACCGATAAAATGAAAATCAATGGCACCAAAGTGGTATAACGACCCGTGGGCGATACATCGGGTATCTGCTGCAGCAGAGCAATAAGTAAGAAAAAACAATTTGAATAACGCCGAAATTGCTCGAATAGGAACGATGGTAGAAAACTTATAAAACTATATTTTGCCGTCGAAATATGATTATTGCAGAATTTCTGCATTTGCGGCCGATTAACAAAAATTACACGTTTTTCACCATCATCTAAGTTGGCGGACGATGGTGTCCTAACATCATCGCAGGGTGTAGTAAGCGGTGGTGTACGCATATGTATGCGTCCACGTAATTCTTGCCACAAACGTTGACCCCACCACAAATGCAGTTGTCGTCGTTCATGATTTAAATTTTCGTTTCCGCTTCCGTTTGAGTTATTGTAGTTGTTTTCCATATTAACATTGCTTCTACAAATAGAACAAAAAAAAAAAGGGAAAGAGAAGAAAAAAACCCAAGAAATTATTAGAAAATATTGATTTTCTGTTTTAGTTTGTAAGAAAAGGAGAAAAATGTAAAAAAAAACACAGTGTAAAGACGTGACTTGATGTTTGGGAAATAATAAATGTAAAATGAAACAGAATTTATGTTTTGATTTAATTAAGGTTTAAATACCAATGAATTTAAAATAAAACACACACACACAAATAAACAAAATACAGTTTCAATTGTTTGTAACCGAAAAACCCAATTTTTAACTATATTCGACATGCTTTAACTGACCGAAGACATCTTTGTTTATAAAATTTTTTATTACTTCTGAAAGTGTAATCTGTCGCCTTTAAATAAGGATTTAACATTTGTTGTATCTTCTTCCTACTTCGAGATATCTTTACCCAAAGTTAAAAGCAATTATAAATTCTAAGAAAATAGATATTGCCTTTATTTTAAGCTAAAATTTTAACTGGCGATGTCTCTTCAAATAGAAGATATTTTGAAGTAATAAAAAAGTAAAAAAAGTTTTATGGAACAAATTTGTCATTTATATTGGTTCTAAGTTTCAGTTTTAGATATCTAGAAGAATGAAGACAATATAAGATAGTTTAAACCTTTATATTAAAGCCGACAGTTTGGACTTTCAGATGATATAACAACGCGCTATTATAACGTCTGCAAAATGGCCAAAAACGCATATCTTTCAAACTTTATGACACGATATCTTAAAGAACGGATTTGATGGATAAATTCTGATATAAATTTATATTCTTATTAACCGTTACTCAATCTTTTACAAAAGTATACTTTGATGTCTGTATTTAACAATTGTTAGCCTTTGTAATTAACTAAAAATATGAAACTAATATACTTTAAATAATAAAACTTAACTGTAGCAAAAAACTATTACTAATTTTCAATTTTTTTACATTATTTGAAATGAAAATTTGTTATCATTTCCATAGGAAATATGTAATAGTTTTTTGTTACTAATAAATACTAAATATATTGTTTTAAACGAGAACTAAATTGAATGATAACTAAAATTAAACTAAAATACTGAATACTCAAATCAAATCAAAACACTGTTTTTTTTTTCTTTCATTTTTATTTAGTTACAATATGACATTTACTATTCGACCACAATTTAACACAACATGTACACATACACTATATAAAAGTAGAATATATATAGATAAATACGGCTAACTAAAAAGGACGAAATGTAATTACATTTATTACTTTCTGTGTACTAGTCTTTAGAGTAATTCAGAAATATTTTTAACATACATTTTCATATATTATATAGTATCTATTGGTTAGTCGGTTGGTATTAAAAAGTGCTAATCGCAGTAAACAGAATTTACAAAAATATCCTATATAAGAATAATAAATTACTTTGTCTATAGTATTAATATATTGTACATTGTTAACCATTTGTTAGGATGATGACGAGCAGTCACGCAAATGGACACAACACACTAGACAATATTAACCGAAAATATTCTATTGTAATTAAAGGCTTCTTTCCGCTTCAATAAAACGCACACACTATTTACGTGTGTTTATTAGAAAACAGCAGCTAACGTTGTAGTAATGTAAACAATAAATGTCAGTCAACTAGAAGGTGTTGTAAAAATTTTAATTTTGAGTACATTTTTCCATGTAATAATTAATTGTGTGAATATTAATTTTTAATTAAAAACAATCAGTTAGAAGTAAAGGTTTTACCAGTTAATTTATTGTAAAAATTAATCAATCACAAAATTTTTTCTATTTAGATAATTTCTATGAACTTTCTGTGTAACAGTTTCAAAAGGAAAACTAACCATTAGCTGTATTTCTCAAAGCTAGTTCGTCCATTAGGTTAGTCGACTTTATATAAAAAGAGAGAGAGAGTAAGATCTCTTCAAAGTAGTCGTCTCACAGGAGTAGTATAGTTTGAATTACTGCCTTTGCAAAATCGATTATTAAGTTAACAATGGTCATTAAAGCCTGTTTTTATATGGAAAAAGTGTGTAGTAAACCATTGTTAACTTTAATAATCGTTTTTGTATAAGGCAGTTAATCTTTAATCTTAATATAGTAAATACAAATTTTCAAATGTAATTACTTAACTATTTTAAAACTTTTAAATAAAGTTTAAAATTGTAAAAAATAATAAAGTTTTACTAGCACCATTTTAATAGGTATTGTGTTACTAACGAACAATAGCAATTTTAGAAAAAAATTTGAACTTATAACCGTGTAAAATTATAGATATTAACTTTCAGACATTAAAAAAAAATTAATTAAAAATATACTAATTAAGGAATGCAGTCAGCATTCTTCATAATATTTATTAGTATGTACGTTAAGTAAGCTTGGAAAATTCTAGTTACAGTACTAGATATAACAGATACACTCTAGTTCCCACGACAATTGGACCTTCGCTCCGGAACGACCCGAGTCATACTAGGCCAAAGATTGTCAACCCAGCGACAGCTGCATCAACCGAAAATTTTTCCCAAAAAATAACTATCGGCTATAGTTTCGTCTATAATCTAGTCTATAGTCTAGTCTATAGTCTAGTCTATAGTCTAGTCTATAGTCTAGTCTATAGTCTAGTCTATAGTCTAGTCTATAGTCTAGTCTATAGTCTAGTCTATAGTCTAGTCTATAGTCTAGTCTATAGTCTAGTCTATAGTCTAGTCTATAGTCTAGTCTATAGTCTAGTCTATAGTCTAGTCTATAGTCTAGTCTATAGTCTAGTCTATAGTCTAGTCTATAGTCTAGTCTATAGTCTAGTCTATAGTCTAGTCTATAGTCTAGTCTATAGTCTAGTCTATAGTCTAGTCTATAGTCTAGTCTATAGTCTAGTCTATAGTCTAGTCTATAGTCTAGTCTATAGTCTAGTCTATAGTCTAGTCTATAGTCTAGTCTATAGTCTAGTCTATAGTCTAGTCTATAGTCTAGTCTATAGTCTAGTCTATAGTCTAGTCTATAGTCTAGTCTATAGTCTAGTCTATAGTCTAGTCTATAGTCTAGTCTATAGTCTAGTCTATAGTCTAGTCTATAGTCTAGTCTATAGTCTAGTCTATAGTCTAGTCTATAGTCTAGTCTATAGTCTAGTCTATAGTCTAGTCTATAGTCTAGTCTATAGTCTAGTCTATAGTCTAGTCTATAGTCTAGTCTATAGTCTAGTCTATAGTCTAGTCTATAGTCTAGTCTATAGTCTAGTCTATAGTTTAGTCTATAGTCTAGTCTATAGTCTAGTCTATAGTCTAGTCTATAGTCTAGTGTATAGTTTAGTCTATAGTCTAGTCTATAGTCTAGTCTATAGTCTAGTCTATAGTCTAGTCTATAGTCTAGTCTATAGTCTAGTCTATAGTCTAGTCTATAGTCTAGTCTATAGTCTAGTCTATAGTCTAGTCTATAGTCTAGTCTATAGTCTAGTCTATAGTCTAGTCTATAGTCTAGTCTATAGTCTAGTCTATAGTCTAGTCTATAGTCTAGTCTAGTCTATAGTCTAGTCTAGTCTATAGTCTAGTCTATAGTCTAGTCTATAGTCTAGTCATAGCCTACTCTATAGTCTACTCTATAGTCTAGTCTATAGTCTAGTCTATAGTCTAGTCAATAGTCTAGTCTTTAGTCTAGTCTATAGTCTAGTCTATAGCCTATAGTGTAATCTATAGCATATAGTATAATCTATATCTATGGTATATCTATTAATCTAGTCTATAGTCTAGTCTTTGCAAATGATATTTTTTTAAATATTTTTGTTTATTCTCCCCACAAGTTGTACATATTAAATATTTTTTCTTGTTTGCGTGTAATAATTAAAAACTAATCGGAAATTATTTTATTTATATACAAAAAAAATATATGTTTATAATGACAAATCTAGACAAAAATAGAAAAAAAAATATTTATAGCCTAATAAATTTTAAACTTGTTTAAATAATTTACTTTATAATACTATAAAAATAAACATTTTGTCCAATTTGCCGCCAAATATTCGTAAGGAGAAACACACAAGAAAAAAAAACTGAAATAAGTTTTAGATGAAATTCTTATTAAAAATAATGGCAAAAGTATATTACAAATATATTATTTTAATGTATTTTTTACAATTTCAAATATGCTAGTTCCATAAATAACACAAAACACTTCACTATAAATAATAGAGGTACTTTTCAAACACAATCAAATCTATTAATCATAAACATTTATTAAGATTATACATAAATGAAGTGCTAAACAAATACAAAAAGTTTATTGAAATGAATAGTCAAGCAAATAATATAATGAATAATTTCAATTTATGTTTATAAAATATAAATATGAAGGAAAAGGAACAAGAATTTTTATTGTTTAAAATACCTTAAATCTTCATAAGACATTTTGGTAATTTAAAAATTTTGTGTTAGGCGTTTTTCCAATTTACTCGTTTCAATTTTAATTTTTTTTTTGTTTGCAATAAGAATGCGCAGCAACTCACACACTATTTACTTAATTATTATTTACTAGCTATACCCAGTGTGCTTCGCTACCCTCATCGTAATGGAATAAAATAAATATTATTGTAAATGTATATATATCTGCAATATCAAAAAGTCCCCTATTTAAATTTATGTTTATATATTCAATATTTAAGAAAACTCAAAAAGTACCAATGAAGTACGAAAAAGTAACAAAAGACCTCTTTTATTTAATTTCATGTTCCTAAGTTCAATATTATAGAAAATTAAAAAAGTACCAGTTGAAGAACGAAAAATTACTAAAGGGTCCCCTTTTATAGATTCTCATTAACTCCGGGCTCCACATGGTTAATTTCATGTTATAAAAAACACAAAAAGTACCTTTTGAAGAACGAAAAATTACCAAAAAGTCCTCTTTTATATGTTCTCACTTACTCCGGGCTCTACGTACTTAATTTCATGTTTCTAGGTTCAATATTATAGAAAATTCAAAAAGTACCTTTTGAAGAACGAAAAAGTGCCGAAAAGTCCCCTTTTATAGGTTATCACTTAATCTTGGCTGTAGTTGCTTAATTTCATGCTTCTAGGATCAATATTATAGAAAATTCAAAAAGTACCTTTTGAAGAACGAAAAAGTACCAAAAAGTCCCCTTTTATAGATTCTCATTTACTCCAGGCTCTACATGCTTAATTTCATGCTTCTAGGATCAATATTATAGAAAATTCAAAAAGTACTTTTTGAAGAACGAAAAAGTACCAAAAAGTCCCCTTTTATAGGTCCTCACTTAATTCGGTCTCTACATGTTTAATTTCATGTTTCTAGGTTCAATATTATAGAAAATTCAAAAAGTACCTTTTGAAGAACAAAAAAGTACCAAAAAGTCCCCTTTTATAGTTTCTCACTTAATCCAGGCTCTACATGCATACTTTCATGTTTCTATTTTCAATATTATAGAAAATTCATAAAGTACCTTTTGAAGAACGAAAAAGTACCAAAAAGTCCCCTTTTATAGATTCTCATTTACTACGGGCTCTAAATGCTTATTTTCATGTTTCTAGGTTCAATTTAATAGAAAACTCAAAAAGTACCAGTCGAAGGACGAAAAAGTACCAAAAAGTCCCCTTTTATAGATTCTCATTTACTCCGGGCTCTACATGCTTAATTTCATGTTTCTAGGTTAAATTTTATAGAAAACTCAAAAAGTACCAGTCGAAAGACGAAAAAGTACCAAATAGTCCCCTTTTATAGATTCTCATTTACTAAAGGCTCTACATGCTTAATTTTATGTTTCTAGGTTAAATTTTATAGAAAACTCAAAAAGTACCAGTCGAAGGACGAAAAAGTACCAAAAAGTCCCCTTTTATAGATTCTCATTAACTAAGGCCTCCGCATGCTTAATTTCATGTTTCTAGGTTAAATTTTATAGAAAACTCAAAAAGTACCAGTCGAAGGACGAAAAAGTACCAAAAAGTCCCCTTTTATAGATTCTCATTTACTCCGGGCTCTACATGCTTAATTTCATGTTTCTAGGTTAAATTTTATAGAAAACTCAAAAAGTACCAGTCGAAGGACGAAAAAGTACCAAAAAGTCCCCTTTTATAGATTCTCATTTACTCCGGTCTCTACATGTTTAATTTCACGTTTCTAGGTTCAATATTATAGAAAATTCAAAAAGTACCTTTTGAAGAACGAAAAAGTACCAAAAAGTCCCATTTTATAGATTCTCATTTACTCCGAGCTCTACATGCTTAATTTCATGTTTCTAGGTTTAATTTTAAAGAAAACTCAAAAAAGTACCTGTGTAGAACGAAAAAGTAGCGAAAAGTCCCTTTATTATTAATTTCATGTTTCTATTTCAATATCATAGAAAACTCAAAAAGGACCAGTTGGAGAATGAAAAGTACCAAAAAAATATCACTTGATACCGGGGTTAAAAATAACACCCCATTAGGATATTTAGTGTTTCTAAATTTAAAAATTTTATCTAAATTGGATCATTGTGGTTGAATAAAATCAAATTTCTCGTTTTTACCCCTTTTGGTACTTTTTTCTTCCCCATTAACGAAATAAAAATTCTATTCCAAAAATTTGCAACATCGTAGTGGGAGCTCGTTTTTATGTATTCATATGTATAAGTTAATAAACCAAAAACAATGTTTTATGAAAAAAGTACCAAAAATAGGTACAATTTTAACCCCTTAAATGTCCGAATATCCAAAAAGTACTAAATTCATATTTTTATTTTTTCGTTAAGTTATGAAGGAGTCAAAAATATTTTTTGAATGTGCACTGGTTTAAAAGATACATGGGGTGCGAAAAAAGTACCAAAATACAGTTTTTACCCGTTTATTCCCTAAAGGGGCCGAATTTTAAAAAAGTACCAGACACCTGTCCGTTTATTTTTTAAATGAACGGCGAGAAGCTTTAAACTGTTTTTGTATCTTTTCTAGTTTAGGAGATATAAGGTTACCGAATTTACCCGTTTTTACCCTTTTTTACCCCCTAAACATTCGAATTTCCAAAAATCCCGTCTTAGTGGATCTATTTGGCGGGAGACCAACCTCCTGTCCAAATTTCAGCTCTTTAGCTTCAACCGTTTAGGCTGTGCGATGATGAATCAGTCAGTGAATCAGTCAGTCAGTCAGTCAGTCAGTAACGTTAGAATTTTATATATATAGATGACTATAAACTAAAAACCGAAAAAAGTATTGCTGTAAATAAATAAAAATAAATGAATAGATTTTGTATTCGAAAAAAAAAAAAAAAACAGATAGTGCAATTTAAAAATGTTGTGAGAATAAACAAATGTCAGCATTATTGTATCAGATACGAGGGTTACTACTTTTCAATTGAAAAAGAAAATAACAAATGATTATTAATCAAGTCAATAGTCCAGAGCCAATGTTTCAAACTAATTATTAAAAGGTTTGAAACTATTTTTTTCTAAAACAAATTTCAATCGGAATCTTTTATAATTTATCCAAAAAATAAAAACTTATAATACAACTCTTTAACGTAAAACGTTATTGTTATATATCAACATTTAAATAGTAACCCTCGCATATCTGTTATCAAAATAAAAAATTACGATTAAAATTTTTAAATTATTTATATTTTAAAATAATTAGTCACTGCGATTTTCATACTTTAAGTCCAAGTTAAGTATTTTGTTAAAGTAATCTTTCCTTGAATTTTCTAATGAAATGAGTTTATTTCTAAATATGAACGCCCATTTTTTTATTAATAATGGGTATAAAAATCAAATTGTTTTGCAATCTTTATTAAAAAAACAACTAGGTAAATTGATAAGAAAGATTTCTTTATTGTCTTTATTCTGTGATAAGATTGTGTACGAAAGAAATTTGCTATAATTATCTATTTAACGTCATTGATATGTATTCTATGCATGTGAGTAATATAATAATGATAAAAAAAGAAAATAAATTATAATTACCACGTATAGACAAGGGTTTACTTAAGGTCATATGTATGTGTAAGTATTTACGTTTATTTATAAATAATATTATTGATCGAACATTAGTGAAAATTCATGTGTGTACTGTTGTTGTCTCTGTATATAGAAACTCCATAATTGATTCATACATGTATGGGCCATTAAGCCAACAAACAATTTACATATAAATTGTATTTAATGAAAAAAGAATATTTAAGTTCTCGATGAACACATTTACGTGGACAACAAATATTGAAAACAGCTTTCAAAGTTCCGGCAGATATAATGGGTTCTTATTATCACGTTGCTAAAATTCTAACCTATTGTCTAGAATTTATGTAGTTTTGTCTATAGTCGAATTTATAGTCTGAATTATTATCTTGTCTATATTAAGTACTCTTGTGAATTGTAAAAAGTGGAGCATAGTGCATAGTCTAGTTTATAGCCTAAGCTATAGTCAAGTCTTCAGTCTTGTCTATATTCTGGGCTATAGTCTAGTCTAAAGTATGGACTATAGATTGGCCTATAGTTTGTACTATCGATTAGCCTATAGTCTTGACCATAGTCTAGCTTATAGCCTGAAATATAGTCTATAGTCCACACTAAAGTCAATAGTATGGACTATAGTTTGTCTATTGGACTAAAGTCTAATCTATAGTCAGGGCTATAATATAATTTATAGTCTGGACTATAGTTTAGTCAGGGCTTTTCTCTGGAATAGCCTATAGTCTGGACTATAGTCAACTCTATAATCTGGACTATAATATAGTTTAGTCTTACATTAGAGTCTGAAAATTTTCATTGAAATTTGTTTTTGTTACCAAATTTCTTAATTATTTTACCAATAAATTAACCCATAATATACATTATTAAATATAACATATTTAACTTTTATCTTTAAAACTTTTTCATCATTTCTATTAAAGAGTGCAAAAGGCGAGGTCTTTTATCACACCTCTTACGGAAAACACAAATACATATTTCACAAGTATTGTACGAATACAACATAATAAAAAACTATATTAAAAGAAAAAAATCCTCCCAGCCCAACAGGTGGCAATAAAAAAAACAATAAAATAGGGAAATGGAAAAATTACAATAACGAAAATTAATGTAGTATATAAAATATACTACTTGTATGTCAACAAGAAAAATATAAAAACCACTGATTGTTTTTATATGATAAAATTTCATAATGATTTTAATGAAAACTCCATGGAGAGATGACATTAAAAGACAGCAACAAATAACACACTGACACACTCTCTAATCTATCTCAGCCTTTCTAAGTGTCCTTCAAAAATGTCCGTATGGTTTAGAAAATGTAATTATGGTCTTACACAAGGTAAAGAGAATGAGAGACACGGAAAATGTGTAATACTAAAGATAATGGAGAAAAATTGTCTTAAAAATAATCAGAATAAAATCGTCCTCATGATATCATCACTAACTTATAAAAACCAGAGAGAAAGAGTCATAAGCAAATGAATGAATAATATGGCATTGTGGGGTAAAATACAAAAATAATGTATATTTATACAGTTAACGACAAAAAGTTTGCACAATGCTTTACAATGTTTGTTTTTTTTAATTTAACTTCTTTAACAACTAACTTGAGATAAAAATCTATATAAAAATTAAAATGTAAATATTTATTTAGTGTTTGTTTACTTTTATATTATAAATTATTATCACAATCTGTGCTTGAGATAAGAAATTGTAGTATGGATGTAATTTTTTCTACAATATTACTTGTAAACACGAACATTGCTAAATGTTAAATATTACTTAGTCAGGTGTAGTTTCAACTATTTCTTTTTTCTTAACGATTTCGTTAAAGAAGAAAGTTGATGTGTGTTTTTGGGATGCTGGCCACCAGTAAATAAAATTTTAAGAAATATGTCCACATTTAAAGTTTTTTCTTTTCGTTAAATTAGAAAAGAAAAGTTTAATTATAAAAAATAAAGAACTATAACAAGAGCTAAATTTTTGGGTGTAAATACTTTGGGGACCACAAAATAATAGCTGAAGGCTAAATATATTTAATTTTTATCAGAAAAAAAAAATATAAAAACAAATGCATACGTTAAAAAATACATATGTATTTTTATCACTTTTAGCTTCAAATTTGTAAACTAAAACCACAAATCTAATCTAATATGCAGAACTGAGTACAAGATTAAATATTAGTACTTTACCAATAACAGGTTATAAGGTATATACAGTGGACGTCCAATAGTACGTACACTCTTTATTACGAATATCCAATAATACGAATGGCAAAATTGTTGCATTGTCTACTCTATAGTACGAATAAAGTCACAATTTTTCTGTTCGATAGTACGAAAAACGCATTTTTTATGGGAATTTTGGTTTTATTTACGTATGAATGAAGTTTTTATTATGTTTTTATTTTATTATTTCGGTATCATTCACCTTAAGCTCAGTAATTTTGAAGTTTTTTTGTATTTATTACAAGTGTTTTGTATTTTTAAAAATCCTATACACACAATTTACTGCATGTATATTTACAAATCAACAGTTATTTAGGAAAGTATTTTATTAGTTCCCGACATTAACTCTGCTGAGAACAATATTGAAGCCTCAAAAGCGCTGTTATTGAAAAAGCCCTAAGAATCATTTTACAATGTAATAAACATCGATGTTAAATGATTGATGTTTTAATAAGTAAAATGATATTTATATACATATGTATGAACTGTTAATTTTGAAAGTAGTGTGACTCCACATTCCAAACAATGGGTTTAAGGATAACTATTCTAATTTTTAAGAGAAAATTATAAATTAGAAAATTGTGGTATATTCCATTCAAGTTTCTAATAAAAGTTTTATGTAATCTGAACATTTTAATACATTTTAGAACACATATATAAATTGCAAATTGTCTTTGGCACACATCTTTTTAAAAACATTAAAATTTAAAACCTTCTACATATATCTCATTTCAACCATTGGACTCACGAGACTATCAAAATTAACAATTCATATACGTCAATATGTCCCTTTTATGCCTGTTTATGTACAAGAAATTTATTTAAAATAATACACATTTATTATATTTTGTTCCGTTATGTAATTTTTCATGAAAAATAAAACAAAAATAAATAAAATCCATTATTTTATGTGTATTATTTGAATTTAAACATACAAAATGTGTTGTTTAATAATACGAATTTTTCGGTATTACGAAAGGTCCTGACACTATATAATTCGTACTAGTGGACGTCCACTGTAAATAATAAAAAGGGTCTTACACTTAACCAATAGTTTATATCTAGTCTAGTATTCATTCTATACTCTATAGGTTACAGACCAGTCTGTAGTCTAATATATAGTAAAATTTATAGCCCAGTCCATAGTCTAGTCTACAGTTTATCCTATAGTCTAGTGTAATTTATTAACTAATCTATAGCTTTTTTTGTACATAGTCTAGTCTATAGTCTTGTTTAGTCTATAGTCCAATCTAGTCTAAGGTTTAGTCTATAGCAGGCGCGGATCCACGGGTGGAATAAAAGGAAATTTCCCCTCTCCCAAAGGAAAAAAGAAAATAAGTAAAAAAAATACTCCCGCCCAAACCCTTGAGCTGGTCTATAGTATAGTCTTTACTACAGTCTATATTATAGTCTAGAGTGTAGTCTATAGTGTGACATATAGTATAGTCTATAGTTTAGGTTATATTTTATCTATAGTCTAGTCTATATTATTGTATAATAGTCTAATCAATTGTCTATAGTCTACCCAATTCTATAAAAAGCTTTTTTTACAAAATTGGATCATTGATGTTGTTTTGGACTAATGGATAGGCAGGCTAAACGGTTTGAATGTTATACTTTGGTTTGAATCATATACAATAAACAATTAGATAAATTTGAACTTTAATTTAATATCTTCAACAATAATTTGTTTTTACATCCATATTTTATATCAGAGCAAAATTTATATGGATTCATTTTAAGCAGTACCTATTTATGTATGTATTTCATTTAAAAGGTGTGAGAAAAATGTATTTGGCACCCACTGTATATATACACCGTATATACCTCAAGCAAGTAAAAAACGACTCCAGTCAGCCAATAAACAAACAAAAAACAGCTAAGAGCCATAAATTGTATATATACGTTTATAAGTATGTATGTAGATATTAAATGTGCCATTTACAGACAGATAATAAGACAACGCAATAGAAAGATTTTGCCAAGAAAAATGTATGTATGTATTAAATTTTTTCTAACGAATCAAATATTTATAAACTCATTTTTTTCGTAATGTCATTCATGACTATAACGATGATGATAAACATGATAATGATGTTAATAATGACAACTTGGTCAAAATAAAGAAAATTAGTTGTTGTTATTATTGTCAATGTGTCACGTGTCTTTAAAAATTTTTTTTTTTTACAAAAAAAATAAATGTAGTAAAAAATCACTATTATTTTAAAACTTTTCCAATTATCGACGTTTGTTTACAATCACCTCGACAAAAATATTTATAAATGAATCATTTGTTTTTATTGTTAATTTTATATTTATCATATGGACTTTTAACCACTTTTCCACTTTTTATACGATTTTTTTTTTTTTTTTTGCATAAGTCACTTTTGAGAGAATTGCATGTATTATGTACTTATATATTCACTTTCATACGTATGTATATATGTATAGATATGTATATGATACATATTTTTTTGCGGTCGATAATTTTTTCTTCTTCAAACTTTGTAAAATTGTAAAAATAAAAATTTTCATTACTTTTTTCTTGACGCTTGTTTTTGCTTTCAGACAACTTTAACACATTTTTATTTCGTTTTTCTTTTAATTCTATATAGAATTATATATATTTTTAGTTTTTTTTTTGGAAACAGAAAAACTATTTTTATTTGCAAAATTTATTTTTTATTCTTTTATGAATAAATCCGTTTCTATTTTGTTCACACAATTTGTGAAGCCAAACAACAACAGAAAACCAAAACACAATTCAGCAGAATTCAAAGCCTAACAAATTTTACACGTCGGCGTTACACCCTAACAATGTCAGCGTCTTCAATAAATTTTATTTGCCGGTTTAAACAGAAAATTGCTTCAATTAAAAAAACTACGATTTAAATTGAAAAATTTAAGAAAAAAATCGAAATTGCTAACAATTATACAAAAAATTAAGAATATAATCAAACTACCTAATGCCGCCACATTTTTAGAGAGATTTTAGCTTTCAACATTAAATGGCGGCTTGTTTTAGATTGCTTTGTCATGTGTCAAATGACAATATTAAGGCGCAATTATAAAGGTGTATCTGTCTACTATAAAACATATTAAAATGGATCCATTATTAACCTAGTGCTAATTACTTTATATAAATCGACATTCGAATAATAGTGTTTTTGTGGAAATAAGTTATAGTCGTCGTTTTTGTTACAAATAATTGTTAACTCGACGATCTTATGGGAAAAAGTCGAAAAGTTGACTTTGCAAATGAAAGTCAAAATAAGTCGATAAGCGGGAAAAGGTTGAAAATTCAGAAAAAATAAACATGGAAACATTTTTTATAACATAATAATTGAAAAAGAAGTGAACAAAGTCAATATAAGATAATAAGTAAAAGCTTACTTAAAAGTAAATTGAAAATGTCGGATAGTCAACAATTTCAATGTTATAAAAAGTCAACTATTTTCATGCTTATATTATAGAAGGAAAATGACAAAGATTTTTTTAATAAATTTCCAGCATTATTGTGAAATGAATTTTTTGTCTTCTGGCAACCTTATTAATTCTTATCAGATTTTCTTCTCTCAAAACGTCAAATGTTCAAACGATAACTTTGACATATATTCAGAGATTTGCCATCACTATTATTATCGAAAGTTTTCCTCGTTTTGCTGCCGTGCGGTGATTTTGTAATAAGAATTTTCCATTAATTTAATAGTTTTTACGGTAAAAAAGGTAAATTTTTTAATGTGATCGAATTAAATTGCTATAAGAACAAATTGAATGAAAAATGTACAAAATAATGTAATTTCATCATAAAGCAAACAATTTACATGTTTGTCTTTTGTTAGATCTAACCTAAAAAAACTGATGAAACATCTAGTGAACTTTAATTACTTGCATTAATTTATCCGGCTAAAATTAATATTATTTAAATTTTCTTTTATTTACAGTCTACATAACAATGGCTGCTCAATTTTTCAACCGCATCGGCCAATTGGGTTTGGGTGTCGCCGTTATTGGAGGTGTTGTCAATTCAGCATTATATAATGTCGAAGGTGGTCACCGTGCTGTTATTTTCGATCGTTTTACCGGTGTTAAGAATGAGGTAACCGGCGAAGGTACTCACTTCTTCATTCCCTGGGTGCAACGTCCCATTATTTACGATATTCGCTCCCAGCCCCGTAACGTTCCCGTAGTGACTGGCAGTAAGGATTTGCAAAATGTCAACATTACATTGCGTATTTTATATCGTCCCATTCCCGATCAATTGCCCAAGATTTACACAATTTTGGGTCAAGATTACGATGAAAGAGTTTTGCCCTCTATTGCTCCTGAAGTATTGAAGTCTGTAGTGGCCCAATTCGATGCCGGTGAATTGATTACACAGCGTGAGGTAAGAAACAACAAATTTTGCTTTAAAAATTTATTTAAAAATTAAAAAATATTCTTAATTTATTTTCCTAGATGGTTTCTCAACGCGTTTCTGAAGATTTGACCGAACGTGCTAAACAGTTCGGTTTCATTTTGGATGATATTTCCATTACACATTTGACTTTCGGCCGTGAATTCACACAAGCCGTAGAAATGAAACAGGTTGCCCAACAAGAAGCCGAAAAGGCCCGTTTCGTTGTAGAGAAGGCTGAACAACAAAAGTTGGCTGCCATTATTTCCGCTGAGGGTGATGCCTCTGCTGCTGAACTTTTGGCCAAATCCTTCGCTGAAGCCGGTGACGGTCTTGTTGAATTGCGTCGTATTGAAGCCGCTGAAGATATTGCCTACCAACTATCCAGATCCCGTGGTGTTGCTTATTTGCCTGGCAATCAAAACACTCTCCTTAATCTTCCTTCATTGGCTCAATAAATTTTGTGTTAATTATCAAATTAAGTTTTAGCATTAAATGTTATCTATTTACTCCAACCCCTATGGCCTACATCTACAAGTTATCACATAAAATTGCAAAACTTTTTTCGTAAAAAAGTTTATTTTTTATTTTTGTTGTAAAGAAAACCATTTGTTTTTGGTTTGAAATGGAAACTCTTAAGAAGGGTTTTAAATTTGAGCACATTTTTTATAACAGTTTTAAGTGAAATCTGAAATAATTCTAATAATGATTTATAATTTTAGGAAAACATAATTAACTTGCTAAGCAAAGACTTATTTTAAATGTTTTGTGATTTGGGTTTAAAAGGATTAAATTTTTATTGTCTAAAATCCTTTCCCAAAAAATGGCAATATTAACTTATTTTGTAGTTTTAAAACAAACATTTAAAAGGAATACTTGGGCTTATTTAAAGATAATTATGTTTTATTAATTTTTCGTATTGGTCTAAGCATTTGTTATGTCACATAATAAATAAAAAACAAAAATGTTTTAAAAAATTTTAAATATGAACTTTAATTTATAAAAAACCACAGTTTGAATTTTAGGCTTAAAGTACATAAATGCATTACTGGAAGACTTTGTTTTATTCAACAATACACAATTTTCAATCGTGTTGTTTGGGATTAGCAATCAATGGTTTAATGTGTCCACAAGCTGGTGTGAAATTTTGACGTACTACAGCATCGTGGAGACTGTAAAACTCTAGACGATGTATGTTCTTTACACCATCTCGGAATTCTTTTACTCTTCTTTTTCAATGGGTATCATTTTATCCGAAGCATTAGGATCTTCTGGATACAATCATCACCGGGCAAAACACTTACTTGTCCATTTTTCAATTTGTATTGCACTGGCAGGGTTACTATGCTGCCTTCCGATGAACGTGTTGGGCAAATTCTTTAACTTTTTCCAGTTCGGTAAAGTTTAAGAGACGCGATAATTCGTAGAATTGTGGCGGTGGCAACCAGATTTCTTCGTAAATAGGATTTGAGGTAGTCGGATGGAGTTTTCCACTATGATAAAGAGAGAAAGTGAGAAAATTTATGAAATTTTGAAAAAAAATTCAGATTTTCAAAAGTTTGGGAAAAACATGTATATCTGATTATCTATCTACTATCTATCTATCTATCTATCTATCTATCTATCTATCTATCTATCTATATCCCTTTTTAAATGTTCATACCAAAACACTTTTTATATTTTTCACTCACCGCATAGTTTGTAACTTCATGTTCTTCCGCCAAAACTTCGGGCATATTTTCTAAAGCCACCATAAAGAAGGCAGTATCAAAACTTTAACAAATAAAATAAATTAAACTTATTATAGCTATAAAATAAACTCAATGTAATTACCGTTTCTTAAAAGAAGAAGGAGTAAACCAATTAGACCATTCATACAAACTCCATAAATCAGGTACAACATCTAATTCCTCACATAAGGTAAGAAATTTTGCTAGCATCATTATGAACTACATTTTGCCAATGTTTGCGATCAAAGTCCTCTCTAAAATTGCCATAACCTTTGCCATCGGGTGATGATAGAGATTTACGATCGCGACACAAAATAATACCTAATTCTTCAAAGGTTTCTCGAATGGCGGTTATTCTCAATGATAGTTCTCTATAAGAACAATCTGTTAAGATTTTTTGTAGAAAATTGTTAAAAACGCGTACTACCCACCTTTCTAATACATCATTATTATCATTTTAAAAATATTGGATACTTCACCCTTCACAGCAGTTAGAGGTTTTATTTGTGTTTTTGTTACTCCCAACTTTTCGAAATGTTTATGCCCAGAGTGGCGTTTCATCGGCTGCCTCACAAACACCGCCCGGGAATACAGAGGAGTTGGGCATAAAAGAAGCCTTTTCATGACGATTGAAAAGTAAAGCCTTAAAATTGGCCTGTTTATCTACTGGCAGTTTATGTTTAGCTCATACAATTAAACTAGCAGACTTACGGAACTTAATAGCCATTTGTTTAGCCATGGCTATATAGAAATATCTAAAAACAATAATATTGCACAAACCAAACTAATATTAATAAAATTAATAATAATAACAATAGTATTGGCTAAAAACACAGAGTCATCACATATTTTAACGGCGTTAAAAATTATAAAATACTAAATTAATTAAAAATGCACTTAATAATACTAATATTACATATTATTTAACTAGTAGTATTAATAGAGAATCAAAAATGATTTATATTTACATAAATCGTATGCATTTCTTTATATATCTCCTACTTACCAAGCAAATATGTTAATTACATTAAGTTGTCGACTTTGCACCTCTGCGTTGTGTTTTTGCAACTACCAGCTGATGTTTGTTTACATGTGCACTTTAATAAGTGTTGGTGAATGTAAACAAAAGAAAAGTGTTGGTAAACTTGTAAACAGTTTATATACAGCAACTCCTCGATTAACGTTTTTAAAATGATTGTTTCTTTTCTAATTTCACCACAAAGTATATAGAGGTCTCAATTGCGACACATAAAAAGTCTAAAATTAACTTTTGTATAAGTTTATAATATAAGTTTTTAATAAATAGTTGTTTTGCTCGTGACACCTTCGTATATTGGCTTTATGTTGCTCAAACCACTTTAACCCATTTGTACAACCGAAGTGCAAACTACTACATTATTCTAAAGATTAGAAGTGAACACAAGTCAAGGAAAATACTTTTTAGCGGTCTGAAAATAGTCGGTTCTTCAAAACTTTCATGGTTTCTGCAAAAAACTCCTAGTAAACATTAAATTCCAAATGTTTTTATGAACAACCACTGTCTTTTATAACCACTTATAAGTAATTGTTGCTTGGGTTATCTCGGAGAAATACACAACTTCTTCACTGGACGTCTAACCTGAAACTATCACCAGCGAAGTTTTCAGCAACACTTTTCACCACCTGGACGAAGGAGGTAACTTGAATTTAGGCGTCGTAGTCGATGGATCCCAAATACCGACTGTGAACCACCAAAGATTTTGGGGGATTACCTTTGACAGCCTGTTTACCTCCTCAGCTCATGCCACGCAGTTACAATCTGTGCGTAAGTAGAAACAAGGTCCATTCCTTTGGGGAATGGACAAAGAAACTATGTTGGCTATTTATGAAACAACTAGACGGTCAGTGGTTGCTCCAGTAAGGTTCCTTCACCGAGTGATACCCAATATTCAAAGCTGCCCAAAATGCTGCCCTACGGAATGTAACGGTCTGCATGCAAATCCCAATCAAGGAACATAATGTCATGCTGTCTAAACAGTTCCTCCTGGGATGTCATTGGAGGAGTCATCCCAACTTTAACATCACACAGTTGGATGCTCCCACAGGCAGTTCAGGAAGGACCTTCGTATATACTAGGAGGATCATACGAAGATATGTGCAGGATCCCTTGGATCGGAGTTCCTAGCAAAAATTGTCCAAAGAGTTCTGATAGCTATTTCTTCATTCTTTCCAATTTTTTTTAATTTCTATTTTTTTAAATAATTTTTTTTTAATTTCTTTTTTTAAAATGGGCCCCTTTTTTGCTTAAAAGGAAGCTTATACAATTTCCTTGAAGGGCTTTATAGTCCCATAATAGGATGGGAGTGAGATATCTGTCAAAAAAAAAAAATATTTTATTATAAAATTTAATTTTTTTTTTGGAAAATTTCCCATATGTAATTTTGTAATATTTTTGCTATTACAAATATCTAAAAGAATTTCCTGACCCATTGGTGTTACTTTTACTAGTGTACATATTTACAATTTTCAAAGAAGAATCTTAAACAAATAACACTATTCCTTCATGAAATTTTATATTTTCTTTAACCACCCACTCCTTTCCATTACACAAATTACAATAAATCACTCACCAGTATAATCCTGTCATCAATAGAATCTCTTAACGGAGCATAAAGAGGTCTTTAAAATACTACTTTTGCAACAAGTGGCAGCTGGGGGATTCCGATAGTAATGTGTATTTCAAAACTCATACATACATAATTCTGCCATTAAAAGCGAAGGAAAGAAGAAATGGAATATAAATAAAAACAGGCATACAAACAAAGTAACCAAGAAGGTACTTTTGGTAGTGCTTAGTGATTTATCGTCGCTTAGGATCCATATGTATTCATTTCTCTTAATCTCTAATTCTCATATTCACAAAAATAGTCCTGTCTGCACTATTATCTAAGTATATGTCAATAGTCTGCACTGGACTAGTTTTTTAGCCTGAATCATAGTCTAGTGTATAGTCGGAACAATAGTCAATTCTAGTCTATAGCCTGGACAAGGCGAATAGTTTATAAGGTGAATCATTTCATTTGTGAGGAATTTATGAATATATGGGTTTTGACAGCTTCGGGCTAAATTTCCATGGACAAAAAAACCAGTCAGCTGTTGAAATGACTTCACCTTATTAGTTTCGCCATGGTCTGGACTATTGTCTAGTCTATATTTTTAACTATAGTCTAGTTTATAGTCTGGATTGTAGTCTACTCTATAGTCTGGGCTATAGTATATTTCGGATTGTAGTCCATTCTACATCGTATAGTTTGGACTATAGTATAGTCTATAGTTTCACTATGATCTAATTTAAAGCATATTCTATATTGAGAGCAATAGTCTGGTCTATAGTCAAGACTATAATATACTCTATATTTAGGTCTATTATGTAAACATTGTCAGGGCTATTGTCCGCACTATAGTCCAATCTACTGTCTAGACTATTCGCCAGTTCAAGGAGCCTACACTAGCCTAGTCTAAATATTCACTATATTGTAGTCTGGTCTATAGTCTAGGCTGGACTGTGAATAATGGTCTGGCGAATCGTTTCAGCTAAACACTATAATTTTTATAATTAAAACCAATAAGATGTACTTTTATTGTACTTTTAGTACATCCCCTACACTCATACGTAAATCAAAACATATAGTATTTTCACGTATATATGTATACACATTAATACATATGTATGTATGAACGAGTGATTTATAAAGTTCATTCCGAAACAAAATACTGTTGACTCACTTGAAAATAATTTTTTTTTAAGTGGCCAAGTTAAACGTCATGAACATAACATCATTTACAGATTTTAGTAGGAAAACGTACGTTTGTACGTTTGTTTGAATCTAAAATATATCAAGTATGTAGTAAGTTTGTTTATTGGGGTTTCCACTTTGCTAGTGTGTACTCTTGTTTTTTCCTCACATTTACTCTACGCAGCTTCTCCGTTACTATTAACAAGAATTGTTTTTGTCGTTTTTGTTTTGCTCTTGTATTGTTGGGGGCTGAGGAAATCCCCCTCTCATTTATGTGCCAACATAATAAAAGTTAACGAGTTAGAACCGTCACAAATTGAATTAAGTTAAAATGGATTTGGTAACTACTGACTTTTTTTGTTTGAATGATATAGACAAAGCAACAGGCATTTGTGAATGTGTGTATGCATCTTTGTTGTTGAATATCTATTGTACTATAAGATGTCAACAGATATTTTTGTATATGGTCGAGAG